GAATCAAATGCTTTAATTAAAGACTCTATATATGGCTTTCATATCACAACCTGAACTTTGTCTTCATGGTTCTATCTGCTTTAATTTCACTAGATTTTTATTCTTTTTTTCTGCTCAGCAATTTCACTAGTTGATTCCATGGACATGGTGTATTGCATTCTTCTCTGGGGTATTGCATTCTTTTCTTTTTGCTGATAATTAAGCATTGAACATGTGGCTTGTTATCGTGACATATATCTCTCTAACCTTTATTAGGAAATAAGAAATGGTGATTATCTCAGAAATAAATAACTAGTTACGCTCCCTTTGGTTCACGTAAAATATTGAAAAATAAATAAATGAATTTTAGAAAATGTTATTTTCCGGTGTTTGGTTGTCCGTGTCTTTGGAAAGCAAACATTTTCCAAGCTATGAGAGTTGTTGGAAAGCTTAATGCTTTATGATTTTCAACAAGTCATTTTCTGTAAGGAGGGTTGGTTCTCCTGGTTCAAATGTGGAGAATTCCGATTGCACGTCATTTTAGAAGAAAATTATTTGTTTTTCTCTCTCTTTCTTTTGCACTAAACCAAATCATTGATCCATTGGACCCAATGACCAAGTCATGGGTTGTACACTAAAAGTTTATGCAAAATTTTGAAGGTCATAATTTTGCGTCCTAGGTAACTTTTTAAGATCTATGCACTCCAAAGCATCATGCCCCGCTATTTTTGTTAAAAACAAAAATAAATAAATAATAAATAATAAACCTCTTGGGGTCTTAAGTCATATTTCTTTAATATTTTTTATAAATAAAAAATTAAAAACTGAGTTAGAATATATTATTTATCGATAATATTATATGTTTATACACATATGACATATATATAGTGATGACATGATACAGTCTGAACCGGTGACCCACGACCCAAATACAAAAACGAGTTGGCCTCTGGATTGGTTTTTAAACATTAGATATACCATAGTGTGGTACATGCACTATTGAACATGGATGCATTATGTAATTGCTTAACAGTTATCCAAATCTCTGTATTAGTTGTAAATAATATTTTAAATTGTAAAAGCAACCCCTAAGAACTTTCTGAATCTTTTGGAGTAAGGATAAAGAATAGTACAAGTAAATGTGAGTTGAGCCCCACCGAGATTCTAGGAGGGTCAATTTACATATATGATAACAAATGTATAATGGTTTTGAGTGTTGACCATGTCAACTCAAAACCTACCATTTATTAGAATTTTTCCTCTTTGAATGGTTTCCAAAATGTTTTTGAAATAAATAGGTTAAAGAAATTACTTCCATTGACCAAATGGAGGAGAGGATGTGAACCTGCACACAGAAATTAATAGAGGGTGACATTGAAAGATGGGAGTCCTGACCCGAATTGCACAAGTTAAATTAAATGAAAATTCTTGCATAGAGTATATCCCATGAGAGTATGTGCTTTTCTCTCCAAGGCCCCATGGGATAGAATTATAAATTTTTGCTGGATTTTGAAATCTCCAGAATTCTAAAACCCAACCCTGAAAGACTCCGTAMAATTTGGATTACTGAAATTATGATTATTCTTCCAAAAATCACCATTCAAATTCCAAAAAGCAGGTTGCAGGTGGATTTTAGAATCGAGCCAGATACTAGAATTAATGTAAATCTTTGTATATAATCCAAACCAAACACCCTAGCTTTTCATTGGAAATAGATTCTGGGTGGAATCAACTTTGGATCCGGGAAGAACTGAATTCCATTTCTGCTCAATTCTGTGGGACATAGTTTTTGAATTGCCGTTGATCCAGATGGTCGAACCATTTGGTCAGGGAATCATTCAGGCAATTAGTTTCACTTTATCCCAAATCTGATCTTTGATTAAAAATCGTTGAATCAGTTAATTATTTGTTGATTCGGGCGATCGAATGTTCAACCCATTCAACAGTTTTGGACGTCTTTTATTTTTTTACTTTTTTTATTAGAATGGATCATCCGTTCAAATCAGACAATCAAACTATCGATCCAAAAACCGATAGTCAAAACGATTCCACTTCTGAATCGTTTTTTTAAACCATGCTGTGGAATCTAGGTGACTACCCTCTACCTAGGATTTTATGCCGGTAAAAGCATGGGTTTAGCAGGCTTGTATTTTAGAAACTTGCAGATTAATGAAAGATGCCCATTGTTCAATTACATTCCAACCCCACCCTAAAAAAATAAATAAATCCAAACATGACTTTAGGCTTAGGGAATTTACTTCGCCTTCGTAAGAGAAATGTTCTGACTCCACTTTATGCATCATCCTCTTTATACGAGTGAACTTTCAGTATAATATTCCTGCTATAAGACAAAGGAGGCCCTTTCTACCAAGTATTTAAATAAAAAAAAAAAAAAAATCGAATGGCTTGCTTCTATGACATAAGGTCCAATACAAGTTGGAAGGGGGGGACCCTGCTAATTAAACAAATGTTCTTCTAGTCTTCGACAAAGGTCTATTTTTCCAAGTCCTGCCAAGTACGCATGAAAAGGACCTGCTTTAACGTTTCAAGGACCAGAATAAGACATAGGCCTAGGCCCATTAGAGGCCCAAATTTGCCCCACTTCTTATAATGGTCTGGACTAAGGGTGAACATTGGTTGATTTAGTTTGGTTTATAATACCTTATACATTATTTATTATACATATACAAATATTAAAATGAAAACAAACAGTCAAATCATTTAAGGCTCTGTTTGTTTGTGATTCTAATGTCAAATCGGGGTATTTATGTATTTCGGTTTGCATTTACAAGCATTTGTTTGAAACGTAAAAAGGTAATGATTATCAGAGCAAAAATGTATTTTTTGATAGTTTTTTACTCTGAAAATAGAGCACTACTGTACCTATTTTTTTTATACAATTTTGTATTCTTTTGATAATTAACTTTTTGACCAAACTTAATGCATTGGAACATAAGATAGTTGGAGCATTTAATGATGGGCCCACACTTTTGCACCGATTTCAAACAAACAAGATGAATGCAAAAACGATTTAAAATGTGAACCATGTTTGCATTCATGAACCGAAAAATGGGTAAATATGTAGTGTACATATTTGCATTTGCATTGCAACCAAACGCAGCCTAAATAACTCGATGGTCAAGTGAGACCATGTTTTTATAACCACGAGTGATTGGGTTCAAATCTTCACATCTTTAAAAATAKTTTTGGAGTTTATTTCAAAGCAAGTTCAATTCCAAGACTGATTCATCAGGTTGGTTCAGAAAGGAAAACCTTTAGACCCTAGAACCGACCTCAGTGGTTTCGGCTCTAAGAATTTGAAACCAAACCATATCCTATAACAGATCGAGTAGGGCTGATTCAAGACCGGTTCAAAGTTGATTCCATTGAGTTCTAGGTAGAACCTATACCCTTTTGCTCACCCCTAATCTAGACAGTATACAACCTCTAAAATCTAACTCAGATCAGACCACTGATCATGAATACAAAGATGAACCCTAAAAAGAAGCATGACTGAGCATGAGGTCATGAGCATACATTTCCAGACACTCTTCACATACAACCCTAAAATACGGTGCCCATCAATTCATTGCTCAAATGGGAAAGCAAAGAGCTGCTGAAGGCGTATAGAAACAAATCCAGAATGAAAAAGGATCTTTAGCGGTCAAGATTCAAGAAAGATCAGCTGCCCAACCGAAAAGGAAATTAATATCATAACCTTCCAAACTTCTCCCTTCTCTACATTTGTCGCCTCCAACTCAATCCACTCTTTTCATACTGTTGGCCCAATCTTGAAAACAACAAATAACAATCCCCCTTTCGTTCTTAGTTCTTTGAAATATTTATATACATATACATGGACCCAAAAGCTCACAAAGTCAAAAAGTTACTCCTCTAGAAGAAAATGAACCAACCAGCCTTAGATCATTTTAGAAGAAATCAGACAAAAGCAGTGAGAGGTAAGAGCACGTTATATGAAACAATAAAGAATGTAAGAAAGGATCAACGTACCTAATGAATTATAATAATAAATAATATAGGGGTCGAATAATAATATTTATATTATATGTGGGTGCTGGCAATTCCAGCCTTGTTTTCTATTTCCGGACCTAACCCATTGACTCACTAACCCGACTCAGCAAGCAGTTTTAATTTCTTTTCTATTCGGTAAAAGCTTGGTATTGGGTCACAGGACACGTAAAATAGTGACTCCTGTAGCTATAGCTTTCCAAATTTCCATTTTCTTAGAGGACCCGGATCCAGCAAAAAATGGGTCCCACCATAATATTAACCGGGTCATATGTATCAACGTGAGGCATGACCTACATTTGGCCAATTTGGGTTTGCTGTTTCTACATTTGGACGGTGGAGAAAATTATACAAGTCTTGCAAAACTCCAATGACTGCATGATACAAATGGTTAGAAGTCATATCTAATTATTCTGATTCTTCATTAATTCACACACACTTTCTCAAATGGGCCCTATTCTGTGTAAAGTAGTAGTTTTAACTGAATCTTCCGAGTTTTGAACATGTAAATTTGCAAGTTATGAGGGCCCCAGAGGATGATTAACTAAGTAGAGGTCTTGTAGCCCCATACCAGCAAGACACTCCCTTCTTTAATTACAGAGGTAGATGGGTCGAGTTAGAATTGTATGTGAAACTCTCTAACCGACCCGGATCCATCAGCCACCTCCTAATAGTCATAAATGATAAGAGACACCTCACATGTTCATGATGAAGATAGAGCGAGCCTTGCAAGTCATAGCAAGGTCTCAGCAGTGATTTTCTCTTGATGGGTATGTATATTTTAAAATTTTCAGTTGTTTTCAGTATCATGTGTGACCAGATGGTTACAGATATGCAATCAAACGGTTTCAGTTTGAATCACCAAGCGGGTTTGATGGCGTCTATAATAGAAATACAGCACTGTGACATAATATACTAATGACTGGGTCTAGACTCTAGAACATGTTTAACTTCTTCTTACTGTATGTATATATATAAAGATGATATGAGCTTAGTACATACGTTTTGAACCATTAATTCTTCTCATGAACTGTGGAATCATGCTGGGTTTCTATTGTTGGGGTTGGGAGTTCTTAACCGCCCTTCTTCTCTTCTCCCCTTCAACTGAAACTATTTCTTCTTCTTCTTAGTTTTTTCCTTTCTTTCTTTTTGATCAATTTGTTAGAGTTATTCTTCTTGAATAAAGGAAAAGTGGAGAAAGCACGCCATGTCTCAGGCAAAAACTGTGGAACATGGGTTTGATAAGGGTCTGTTAGAATATGTTGGGAAATCCTCTCCACCACCCTTCTTGTTAAAAACTTACATGCTCGTCGAAAATCCGGCCACCGACGACATAATTTCATGGAACGCCGAGGGAACAGCCTTCGTTGTTTGGCAGCCGGCTGAGTTCGCAAGAGATCTCCTCCCGACCCTCTTCAAGCACAGCAACTTCTCAAGCTTTGTTCGACAACTCAACACTTATGTAATTAAGCTTCTTCATCTTCCTTAACCAGTTTTCTTTCATGGAGATTCAAGATCACCACAGTTATCGAGCTCATTCATGTTTGTAATTGTGTTCAGGGGTTCCGGAAAGTGGTGGCAAGCCGGTGGGAGTTCTACAACGATTTGTTCCGGAGAGGACAGAGGGAGTTACTGAGCGAGATACGTCGAAGAAAAGCATGGAGAAGTAAGGTTCACCCAGTTGCGCCACCGGTCCAAGCTGCAGTACAGGAGTCCGACGAAGAGCGAGGCTCGACGTCTACGTCTTCGTCCTCCGGTCACGGCAGCCTCTTCGACGAAAACAAGCGGCTGAAGAGAGAGAACGATATGTTAAACAGCGAACTGGTGAGTGTGAAGAAGAGGTGTAAGGAGCTTCTGGACATGGTTGCCCGTGGAACGAGTAGTCCAGAGAATACAGAAGAGGACGAAAGGCCCAAGCTGTTTGGAGTGAGGCTGGGGGTTTCAGTGGAGAGGAAGATAGAGAGAGCAGAGATTAGTGAAAGAATCCATGTCTTGTTATCTCAATCCTGCAAATGAAACAAGTGATCGATATGTAAAGAAATAAACCGCTTAGGATCAAAAGTGGCGCAAGCCCATATCTCAGGATCTCTGATATGTCAACTAAGTTATCACCTTCAAAAGTCTATATGTAAATATATTATATGCTTAAACAATCAAAAGGATTGTGTTTTCTTTATATTACATGAACAAGTGATTAGGAGTATTCAGAGTAATTTTATATATATATATAAATATATTGACTGATAATTTATTGCAACCATCCAATATTATTGCTCCTTTCTTGGCCCAGATGTATTAAAACCTTTTTGGTCACTGATAGAATGGTCCAATTATTTGCTCGAATAAAAATGAAAAATAATATAGATATTAATAATGTGAGCAATTAATTTCAGATTTTCTTTCGTTTTGTATTAATAGGAAAATAAGTTTAAAACAATTTGAGTATGATATTTTTGATTAATTATATTTTTTTTTCTTTCTAACCATAGTATTCCTTCTTTGTGTTTCATTATGCATGCAGAAAGAAATTTTTGCTGTACTGAAGTCAAAATTGTATTATTATCACATGATGGAATAGGGGAGAATGACAGTTCAGCGCAGGGTCAGAATTCTTAGGCCCAAAGTGCAGTTGGATAGGTGCCAGCTTAGAATTAATGTGGATTTGGGGCAGGTATTGATGTATGAGTGGGAGTTTTTTACACTTTCAATGTTTTTAGATTTGCAATGGAATTCATAAATCTGCATTGAGCTCTTGCACGTGTGCCACCTTGTAGAAGTCCAGCAGTACATAACATTGTGAACGGGAAATTAATTAATATTCAAATGTGGCCGAAATATTAAAACAACTTATAGTCTAAACACGTGGAAGAATGTTAACACGATTAATTGATGTAATCAAAGATATCAAAGAGGGTCCCCATCTTGTATAGTGTAGCTTTTGTCCATATGAGCTAGACAAATGTTAGTGAGATGGACCACAGAATTGGACATAAGTGGAAAATCTTTCCTTTGCATAGACCAATTCATATTGGAAATTTGTGGTTCAAGATGCTTTCATTTTCATTAATCAAGAAAGACTTTATACATAGGATTGAGATGAATCAAAATTCTATCATTATCAGCATGAGAAATGATCGTGTTTAATTTTAGGCCTCGTTCGCTTATCACTAAGTTATTTATTTGGGTAAATGCAATTTATCTGGTACCCAGTTTTTCTTAGGAAATACTTAYTCAGATAAATAAGGCAATGACCATGTTCTTTTATTTCTCAGGTAAATAAGGCAATAACCATTTTAGCCATAGATATTCATTATTAAAATGGGCATTTTTGTCCCATTCAAGTGTTGGCAACTTTCCCCCTATGTTAAAAAGTTATTTACCCACCTAGGAGATGAATATCACTTTTCTAGGTAAGTGGTACCCAAGAAAATAAAATTTCCCTAATCCCCACATAAAGCTGAAAAAATAACATGGGATTCTTGATCAATGGGAACCAAAATCCCATTGACCAACTTTCCCCCCTCTCCAAATCCAAAAAAAAGAATGCCCCCTTAAAACAACTAGCAAGTGGGAAGGAAGATCATTTCAAGAATAACGATATTGGAAAACAGTAAAAGCATCAGCTGCCATTAGTACAAATGCATGGGAGTAATGCAAATTCTCATTTAATTTTTTTTTTTTTGGGTTTTACTCTATTCTATTTCAGATCTAATTTTACATCATTTGTATTGCAATCAAACAAAAATAAGATAAACTCTGAACTAAAAATAAATCATTATTTTCACTGAAATCATTTGCACTACCATGATTTTGCATCATACAAATAAATTCACGTTGCAACCAAACACGGGAAGAATAAGAGCAAATATGCAGTTATTGAAGACCCCTTGAATGAATTCTTTTTATCGTTTCTGTAAACATTATTCATGGTTTTTGCATGGAATCTTGCGTATGATGATCTTGGTGTTGAATGCTCAGATTTAAATAATATTTTGACATTGTCAGGATAAGTATTGGAGCTAAGGTTCCAGAGATTCAACTTGTTTATTGTCATGTTTGCAAAAGCATTTGAACAGACCTCCTATTTCTAAAGAGAGTTATGTTTCTGTAACTGTTGAAGATCAAAGACAACCTGTGATTGTTTCTCTCTAATCAAGATAGAATGGGCAAAAATTATGCAAAGTCCAAGACAGAAACAAGGTGCCGGTAGATATGGGTCTGGTGGTCAATGTTATTTTTATCAAAGTTGTTGGAAATTTGGAGTTATCTTGCCTCGTTCTTCTTGTCAACAGTTTTTACGTGTTCTTGTGTATGAAAATTGAAGACGACATGACCCAAGGTTTTAGCATATATACCAATTTCAGTATTTCTTCTTGTTTTGGCTATTTTCCAAAGGTCGTATGCGAATTGACCCATCAGTAAATACATCATTAAGATGGTCTTTGATTTAGGTAGGTGATGAATTCCTGCGCCATTGAATCTCTTAACTCCAACTCTTTATTGGGAGTGCTTGTACACAAGAAACCTCTTTCATAATCCACACACAAGTTGTAAAAACCAAATTAGTAGTTGTTTTGTTTTTCAATTGGACAGGGATCTCATCAAAATTTAATCACTTACGTGTTTGGTTGCACTGCAATTCTATTTGCATTAGTACAAATGTATAGGAGTGCAAATGAAAAAAGAATGCAAATTCTGGTTTATTTTTGTTTTGGGGTTTACTTTGTTGTGCTTCAGGTCTTATATTTAGGGGTGCAAATGGATTGGATCCGATTCAAAATTGATCCTATTTTGTCATATTCGGATCACCCTTTGTCAGATTTTCGGATTGGATTCGAATCCCCCTTCCAATCCGATCCAACCTATATATGTATATACTTATAAATATATTTACTTATGAAAATACATATATTAATATATTTATTTATAAATATGTTCATTTTTGTAAATTTTTTATAAAAATATATGTGATGAAAATAGTTCAAAAAATACTTATATTTTTTGTTTTTTATATAAATTGTTATGTTTTTTCTTTTAATAATTTATTAAAACTTTCAAAATTTGAATCAGATTGGATCTTATTCAGATATCTAACATCTTTAACGGATTTGAATCATCATTTGTGAGATCCGATCAGATCTTCAGATCATATTGGATTCGGATATACCCTAATTCAAATCCAATTTGATCCGTTTGCATCCCTATTTATATTATTTCATTTGTACTGCAATGAAACAAAATAAAGTAAAATTTTAAACAAAAATAAATCAAAATTTGCACTCAAATCACTTATACTATCTTAATTTTGCACCGATGCAAATAAATTTGCATTACAACCAACTCTCTTAATAAAATCTTGGGCCCATGAAATGCCCTTCTTTGGAGAGGCTTCCCAAAGATTTTTCCTATTAGATATTTGCTCATAACCACTTTAACCCATAAATTATTCTTATTTGTGAGAATTTTCCATCCAAGCTTAGCCAAAAAGCTTTATTAATCCAATTGAGGTTTTTTAAACCTAATCCAACCCAAGCCTTACAACTACAAACTCTATTCTAGTTTATAAGGTGAATAGTTTCCTCCATTAGAATCGGACCATATAAAATCTCTCTGAACGTTCTCAATGTTTTCTATAACATTATTAGGAATTTTGAAATATCTCATCATAACATATTGAGGGATCACACTTGATGCCAAGTTGGCAAGAGTCAAATTCCAGCCAGAGAAAGAGAGTTTTTCCTCCACTCTGCAAGTTTTTTAATAACTCTATCGTTTAATGATTTAAATAGGACTTTGGAGACCCTTCCATCAATAATTGGAGCTCCCAGGTATTTCTTACTTGTAATGTCTAGGAGAATTTTCAAAATCCTAGACATGATTTTTCGAGCCTAATTGGGATGTTTTTTGAAAAGCTAATAGCTGATTTAGCAAAATTTTGAGATTGACATGAGGCTAAGGCATAATTATCCATAATTTCCTTAGTTTTTAAGCATGCATTTATCGAAGTTTTTGCAAAGATAATTCATTCAATCATCAGCAAATTGCATAATAGGGATTGAGGGCCTTCCCTCGAGATCTTACACCCAATTAGTTTTTATCCACAATTTGCTTCTTTCTCAAGGCCACGAGATAAAGCTTCCGCACATAGAACAAATATATCTGGAGATAGGAAATCCCCTTGTCTAGTGCCTCTAACTAATAGCTTCAATAACTCTAGACAAAGAAACCACTGCCTATGGCCTATGAAAACCAATTTTGATTAAGAACTGTTTTCTCAAAGAAATCCCAATCCAATCAATTATAGACTTTTTTTACGTCAACTTTACAAGCCATTATCCACGAATTACCTCTTTTCCTTTTCATAGAATGCATCATCTTGTGAGTAATAAGAATATTATCAGTGATTTGTTTATTCGGAACAAAAGTACTTCGGTATGAGGATATAATCTCATCAAGAAATAGTTCGATTCTATTGATCGGAATTTTGGAAATGATCATGTAGATCACATTATAGAAGCTAATTGGTCTAAAATTATTCACTGTATTGTATTAGGATTTTTAGTTTTGGGGATGAAGGTAATGAAAGTTCTATTAAGCACTCTATTCATCTTCCCAAAGTGAAAAAAAAAGGCTTTGATGACATTGCCAACCGAATCCTCAATCACAATATCACATTCCAAATTTTTTTGAAAAGTAGGGCATTGAGGCCATCCGGGCCAAGGGCTTTCATGTCCTTTATTATAAAGAGAGTTCCATAGATTTCTTCATTAGTAATTTATCAAGTTATTTTATGATTAATTTCATCAGTCACACAGCGATGAATTTCACTAATGAAACTCTCAACGCCACTAACACTTTCTGATTTAAACCTTTCTTCAAACTTTCTACTAAAATGATCTTTGATATCCTTCATCTCTAAAATCCATTTACCCTCATCATCCTTTATTCTACAAATTTTATTCGTGTTTCTCCGAATAGAATTGTGTGAAAGACATGATTGTTTCCTTGATTTTTGAGCCCAATTAACCTCCTCCCTAGCTAGAATGTTGTCTAATAGTCTTTGGAGGGAAGCCTCATGCTTAACGAGGGTGGGATTATTGCGATTTTCACTCAATTTATATTGGATATCCTCTAAATTCCTCAATTTCAGCTTTTCTTTTCAAACATTGAAGTTCCAAGCATTTTTAACAACTTAAGAAAGGCTAGGTTCCAAACACCACATGGCCTCAAAATGAAAAGGTTTAGGCCGGATCGGGAAGAGTGTAAATACAAATGCAGATCATGGATTTGCATTGAACATGATCGTATTTACTCTCTTCCCAAATGGACCTAAGGGCTTCATCTCCACTCAATGGTGGACCCTTGGCCCTAGTAAAATATTAACAAAGGGTTTAAAGCAGCGCATTTACACCTGCATCCAAGCATCTAAAAACGATATGATGTCGAATAGACCACAACAGAAATTGGATTCCTGCAAAGTCATCAAATAAAGTAGAATATCATTACATTGTTAGCCTGTGCAAGCAAATCCTATGCTTCAGATGCAATGAGATCATGCTTCCAATTTCCGAAGAAAATTTCATCATTTTACAACAGTCTCATTCGTTCATTAATCATTAATCAACAATGATACAAGAGATTAATTGCATGGATTCAACACCACCTGCATTATTTGCTTGTGACAAGGCCAAGATACATTGGTTTTGTTAATTTTTTCTCTCACTGGACCCACCGTTTTCCACTTTACTGTCAAACCCATGATAAGGAACTTCAATCATGGGTTTAGGTATTGGACGGCCTTCAAAGTCCTGAGGAAAGAATTCGAAGTCAGGGCCGAAATTGAACTTTACCACACAATTGGGTTGGTTGGGGAGTGTATACATGGAAGCTGCAGGATAGTAGCGCCCCCCATGCAGATCCTTGAAAGCAACGCCTTGGCATACTCCATTCTTAAAGAAAGATATCTCACTTCCTGCACGGCATAAAAGTAGTGTAAAACACATCCAAGATAAGCCACTGAAAGTTGGATATAAGCTAAACGCATTCCCCACTAATGGGAGACATTCTGCAAAGACTTTCCCTTGGTGGAAGTGTAAAAGAAGCAACTTTCTCACAGTCAGTACCTCAGCAATATAGATCAGTAACAGCCTTCCTCTGCATATATTGAGAAGTTCATTTCATACAACTGCAGATTCGACCACAATAATATAATAATGGTATTATCTACAGTTTTTTAGTCATCCTAACCAAATTGCCCACACAACATAAAAGGGATGAATGTGAACTGTCCTAAACCAACTTCAACCATTAACAATAGCATTTTCCTAAACAAGGCTACACTACAGCAGCATGTACAAGGTAGTTCACCTGCGCCACCCACTGGTAAACAAGCAGCACTTTTAATATGTAAGAAGTCCTCAACCATAGAATATTGCAATGAACAGTGAGAAAAAAAAAGCAAAATGCGAAGTCCATGCACAATGTGGCATCCAAGTGTCATGTGTGGGTCCTCAATACATCAGTTGCTCCATCTCTTTGGTTAAACAGAAAAGTGAAATCAAAATTGTAGGCCAATGTATTATCTCAAGCCATGACAATGGAAATATTTGATGATATCACTGAAAGGACCACACAATAGAGAGAGACAGAAGAGGCTATTGAGAAGTTAATGTAAATAAAGCTTGGGTTCTCTTGGGAGCAACATCCAGATAATTCTACAGTAGAGTAAAAGGCAGTTAAGATGAGAGATCAGAAGATTGAAGAAAAAAGGATGCCGAGGGAAAAATAATATCGGATATGGAGAAGAAAAAAAATATCGATTCAAGCCGTTGGCAATGACAATGCTGAAGAAAGAGGGACAAAAGGATGCCAAGGGACAGGAGGAGGTGGAGGATGCAAATAGACTAGTTAGCCTTTTAATATAAATGGGACTGTGGTAAGATGGAATGCTATTGAAGGTGTATAAATGAGGGTGGTAGGATAAGGTGTACTATTTAGGTGTAAGCCTGATGTTTGCTCCTTTAGGATTGTTTAGATGTCTTAATCCTATATTTGAATTGTCTTCTTTGGGAAGTGTTTTCTTTTCATGACCAGAAACTGCAAACAAATTGTACTAAGATAAAATGAAGTCAGAAATACAGAACTACAAAGCCATTGATTCATTCAAAACCATCCAATGAGTACAATCAGGTTATATCTAGTTTGTATGGCAGTCATCATCGTCAGCTAAGCATTGTCCCAAGTACATGGGATTGGCTACATGATTCCCATTTCACCATTCTTGTCTGTTCAGTGCCATATCCATTGTTGAATTATGACTGCTTAATTAATTTCTTACTACTCCAACCAATGTCCTTTTCGGTCTGCCACTAGCTTTTCTAGCCCATTCATCTTGTAACAGGTATCTTCTTCCTACGGGTGCTGTAGTCTGTAGATGGAATTCTATGCCCGTGATTAAACCATCGGAGTCTACTTTCTCTCATTTTATCACCTACTGGGCTACTCCTAGGCTCATCCATCTCAGTATTTGCATTTCTAACATACTCATTTTATGAACATGTTTATTGACTGCCCAACACTCTGATCCATACAACATTACTGGCCCTACAACTGTTTTATAGATTTTTTTTAGATAAGCAACTGAATATGTATTAAAAGAAGGGTTTTTATAGGTCAGTCCACCCCTAGAAATCTAGAGCTCCACTCTAGGGGGTGGACTGAATCCTGACCGTGGATTGATGCCAAATCCACAGGCAGGATGCGATTTATAGGGGGGGCTACTAGTAGACTAGGAGGGGGCTGCAATTCAGATTTCTGAGGGGGATTATAGTCCAAAAATCCCTAATGCTATGTTTTGTTTGAAGGAAAAAGTAGGGAAAGGTAAGGAAACCTTTACAAACCTTGTATAGGTTTCCCTACCTTTCCCTTCCTTTCCCTACTTTTTCCTTCAAACCAAACACAGCCTAAAAGAAACTCCACCTACTCGAAAACAAACCAGCAGAGAACAAAACAGAGTACAAATGAGAGAAACACCCTACAACAACGAAGTTACAGATTACAGCCTGGACCTGAGCAGCCCCAGACGAAAAATTCTTTCCTTACCCTCCTCTTGCTAGAGAATCTGCCAACACATTTGCAGAACTAGGAACCCAATTGAATGAAGCATTCACCAAGATTCCAATTTCTACTACCCCCCCCAGTCGCCAACTGTTTTATAGATTTTCTTTTTTTTCTTTTTGAAAGGCAGCATAAAGTATGGATTTACTTTAATCCCAAATAAATGGCAAATTAAGGACCATCCAATCCTGGTAACCAGAACCTCCAAAGAGGAAATCTTTCCTTGAAACACCCTATTATTCCTCTCCCTTCACACCTGCCAGATTACTGTGAAAGGCAAAAGATTCCACAAAATTTTTCCTTTAAGCTGTGTTTGTTTAGGTGTAAACTCAGCTTTACACCAATGAAAAATGTGACCCCGATTCAGTGATCGATGGAAATTAGAACCGGGGTATTTTGGAATTTTTCTCTCATATCATTTGGTTGTTATGGTGTAAAATTTCAGCTCATTCTGCTCTGAAACTCTCTCTTCGATGCTCATAATAATTCGGTGAATTAAATATTAATATTTTGGCCTTACTTTCTTAGAAAGAAATGAAAAAGGGTGGTAGATGTGTAGAATCAATGTAGATGAGAGACATTGAAGCACCTTAAGGCTCGAGCTTGATTGCGTACACCATAACACGAAGCAAGCAATAATGGCGGAAAACGAAAATAGAAGGCTTCTCCAGTTCTCAAGCTCCAACACCAGAACCCACCACGGCATGGGCAGTGGAAGGCAGATGAAATCGGGAAGCATGGCTGGAGGAGCTAGGAGTGCAGCAGTGGTCGGTCTAGAAATCGGGAAATTTGCAACTGGTCTACATCGAAGAAAGGGTAGTAAGGGTGGTGCCTGAAGGGAGGAGAGGTTCATGCAGGTCATGAATCCTTGGTTCGGCACCTAAATAGTTTGAGGCTGATCATCAGCCAAGCTGACGGAATGTCTAGTTCGGCCTCAGCTATGATGTCCTCGAGGGTCAGCAATGGGATGCCTTCCGTGAGATCCTGAAGAGCGCAAATGGAGTCCATCTCAGTAACGATTACACAGGCATCGGCTTGCTTAACGGAAGCAGCACAACTCTTGTCGACATCTCCATACCCGCAGATAACTGCTACCTTGCCAACAATCATCACGGAACAGAGAGGAGCACTGCAAAACAGCAAAGAGATCTTGGACAGAGGAGACATTGTAGGCCAGAGGAGCGAAGCTTGTTCTTTTGGTTGTTGGACGAAGAAGACATTGCAGGACAGAGGCGAACAAAGCTTGTTCTTCTTGTTGTTGGACAGGGGGATGTTGTAGGACAAAGAGGAGAAAAGCTTGTTCTTGCAAAGAGGAGACCGTTGGACAGAGAAGGGAAAGTTTACATCAATTTTATCGAAGTAAACTTTCCACTCATTTTCAATGAAATATTGATAAGAATGAAATTTTACATCGACGAGGTATATTAACACCTCTACCAAATGCATGCAAAACTGGACCGGGTGTAAAGTTTACCCCGGTTCGCATTTACACCTTAAACAAATGCAGCCTTAGTAGATAAGTCCCCCACTCTCCAAGATAGTAAATCTGACACTAATCAAGGACAGACCCATTACCTACAAAAAAGTTTAAGGAAATGACTCCAGACTAGAGAAGTGAAAGGGCAATGAATTATCAACAAACTCAAATGACTCCCCACATAAAATTTTCCTTTTAGTTTATGTGGCATTTGTCTATCACATAAAAATCTAGATGCGTGCCTCCATTTTGCCCATCCAGATCTAATTCTATTGTTGACATCCTTCTAATTTCTCCCATGTAATGAATTGTTCAACTAAGGTAATGGAAGATGTCACATCAAGTAACCTCATCTCCAATCCTAGGTGTACCTTGATTTGCACATTGCACTCCTATTATTGTTAAATTTACATTGCATATATTCTGTTTTAGTCCTACTTATTTTGAAACCTCTTGTTTCCAAGGTATTTGTACATGAACCTTATTTTGCATTTAATCCATCATTAGTTTGATCAATTAAAACTATGTCATCAGCAAACAACAAGCACCTCTGGTATGTTTAGTCAATTCATCTATGATGTTTTTCTATCAATAAATAATTGAATAACTTCATTAAAATTAAAAGAGAGAAGATACGACACAACCAGAAAAGGGAGAGATAAACTCTCTTGGCTCTCCCAAAGAAATAAAATCAAATTGCAACAAAGACCAAAATAAATGATCTCTTCCCACCCCTTGTTTAGCCAATGCATCAACAAAAGAGTTGGCATCTCTTTTAACCCATTGAAATCTAACTTCCATTCCAAGTGTCACCCACTTGAATATCCTTTTTCATTAACATAATTCCACCAGCCCACATCCTCCTTTTGCAATCAGCTTATCACTAACTTTGAGTCACCTTCAATAATAAATTTCGAACATTCAACTCTTGGGCCCCTATATGAGTCACAAACACCAATTGGACCAGAATAAAAGGCAAGAATTCTTCTTTCATCATTCCTGAAAACCCCTCCAATGCTTGAAGAACCGGAATTTCCTTCACTACTACCATCAAAATTCAGCTTAATGAAACCATCAGCCAATGGGGGCCAAAACCACCTTATAAAAGCAACATGAGGAACTAATTTTGCCACCATTCTTAAAATAAGGCCATAAAGAAGCCACCTGACCCTAGAGCTTTCGATTTTTCCATTGAGAAAACCTCCTCTCTAATCTCCTTAAGGATAAACACTCTTTCTAAATCCGTTGCAACAGTTTCTGGTACTCTATCCCAATCAAGGTTTGGAAGAGTCACGCTTCTCACTCCTGAATTCATAAAAATGCCTTTACAATAATCCACAAACAATTTATTGATTTATTTCTCCCTGGTTACCTCTTGA